CTGAAGATCGCAGTTGCTGGGTTTAACTCACTTAACCCCCTGCGATAGGCTTGCTCGCCTGATCTTTGGGGAGTTCTTGCCAGAGACAGTGTAGGGGTCTAAGTAGTGGGTGTACTCGGAGCACTACAATCATCAGGTCAAATCCCAGGTTGGAAGTTAAAAGGCCAGAGTCACCAGAAGGACCGGTTTATTGTATACAGAACTCCCAATTGTTGTCTTAGGTAGCAGCGGCTACTGGCGATGCCAGGGCTAGTGCTCATTGCGTCCAGCCAGACCTGAGAGAGTCGACTGTTTTGTGTGGGGTGATGACAGTTGCTGTTACATGACTGTGAAGTGAGTCCAAGTGTTCTCTCAATCGTATGTTGCAACTGCCCGAGCGGATGTCGCCTGCAGAGGTCTTTTCTGCATCGGCCGAGAGGTGGTGTATATCAAGTGGCTCTTAGGCAGGCGTGCTTATTTGGACGCGCGTGTATGCGTGGGTATGTGAGCACTGGAGTGCGTGGCTGAATAAGTGGAAGTCAACTGTCGGGTCCGCCGGCACGCCGAAGAACAGGGGACGTTGACGCAGCTGTTATCGATTAGCCAGAAGCAGCTGCGAGGTCAAACCTCGGGGGACAAATAAGGGAGGTACAAAGACGAACCAAGGCAAATAGTATTGCCGGCAAAGACAAGGGAGACTGGAATGGCTAGTTCTGGATTATTAGTCTTCGTCAGGCAGTCATACTCAAACCCGAGTGGTGTCCTGCTCAAGTCTCGAACTCGGCCTTTTCGATCAGAGCCAAACGCCCTAACCACTGACGCACAAGCTCGTTGGGTCTGAGTACGACTGTCTGAGGACAGCTTATAAGCCAGAAATGGCCTTTCTAGTCTCCCTTGTCCTTGCCGGCGATACTATCTGCTTATACTACCAGCCATAGGCAGAGCGGGACAGATGAGTTCCTTTAGCGGTAGGGTGAACGTTATTCAACGAGTGACGAACCAACTAAGTTGGGAGAATTGAGAGATTACACTGGACGCGCTAGCCGAGCACGCAGCAGCAATGAGGAGGAATGACATGCTAGCTACCAGGTACCCGGCCATATTTTCAAGTTTCCCGGGGCCGAAATGCGCGCTAGAGGTCCAAAAGCACGAGCTGCTTGGGTCATGGTTCTCAGGTCCGCAGTCCAGTAACACGCGCAATGACCTCTCGCTGTCACATTCTCCGCTGAGACATTGTCCGGGTGGGAGAATCAACTACCTCAGGAGGGCGACAACGAAATAAATTGCCGATCGCACCACACTCCGAGCATCTTGAAGTTGTCTTGCCGGAGGAACCCGATAAGTGTGGGAAAAGCGATTTATGACGACGATGATACCCAAACTTCACCTCCGTACAGCAGCTTATCCCCGGTGTTCGGGTTTGTGGTGTGCATAGCCGAGTTCGACAAGAGCCTGTCCTTTTTCTCATTAATTCAGTTCTAAATAGGCTTTCTGTCTCACACCCGCGGGTAACGGACGAACGGCTCATCAGCCAGAACGAATGACTGGTTTCGGCCTCATTTTCACGCAAAACAACCTGTGAACGGATTCATCTAGCTGCCGAACTAGCATCTGTCAGGTATGACGCAGTCCAATAGTGTGCCAAACGGCGCGCAACTACACAAAGACCACCATCCGACGAGTGAGTAGTTGTGGCACTTAGTGACGTCGCTAAATCCTGTGCCAAAGCATGGCCTTCACACCTGAGACCGACAGTTGGCTATGTCGTACTAAAACAGGTTTGAGGCGAATGCCAGCGGACTGGTTAACCACTGGTGGGGAGAAGTAACCGGAGGAAGTAAAGCAGTTGCGAAACTTTCCTTTGAAAATTTCAGAACACAAAGTGGCAGACAAACGTTTGTTTTCGATAAATTCTCGCCAGGTCTGCACATTTATATCGTAATCAACTATATAAACTTTGCGGGTCAGTAGAAGAAGTTGTGCGGTTGTCGGGATAATCGGGGTCAAAATCTGAGCAGCGTTAGGCAGGACTGATAGCCGAGAAAGAGTTGATAAGCTGTGGATTGTTGGATTAGCGACTTTTTAACTGCTGCACCGCTACGAAATCCTTTTGGAGACACAGGACCGGTCGGTGTTATCTGGTGGTGGCCGCTTCTGCCGTAGCCAACAGACACCGTCAAAGGAATTTTGAATAGGTTCAAGGCACCTCGCAAATCACACGGAAGGCCACTCTGACATCCACGCGATGGTCTGAGTCTACCAGGTGCGCTAGATTGGAACTGTTTATACCCACTATTTGACCCTTCCCTAACCATGCTGGAATGTGTTCGTGTATCATTTTGGACAAACGCCGGCTCATGCGACCAGTATATTCCGCCCGACAGAAGCAGGTGAGTGAATAGATGTACGCAGAGGTGGTCTGGGCTGGCAGTTTGTCCTAGATCTCTCCGTATAGGATGGGAG